TATCATCATCATCACACAGATTGCGCACAGCTAATGCAATTGATTTGTAAATATTTTCATTGTTGTTTTCTTTTTAGTTCTATACTATTGTCTATTAACATAGATCCAATATGTCATCAACGATCAAATTTAATTAATAATTTAATTGATAGTTTACCAGAAAATTATATTGTACGTGATATAATTGAACGTAAATACAGTACAGCAACACCTGATTGTCCAGCTGGCTATAATCAACAAATTAAAGATCGTATAAAAAAATTGCAAAAAGCAGATGGAGAAGAAAAAGATGATATTAATTATTCAGATTATGTAAAACCAGCAGCTGCTGGTCTTATTGGTGTAGTTGGTGATTTATTTTTGGCTAAAGGTGTTAAAAAATTATGTGACAATAATAAAAAACGAAATGAACATTTGAAGAAAAATGATTACACATTCATTTGAGTTTTTCTTTCTTGTTTGTTCTTTTTTTTCGTGATAAAAAGTAAATGCATTTAAGAAATGAAAGATGAAGAAAAAAAAAATTAAATCGAATAGAATTTTATGTGGTAAAAGTAAACAAATAAAAAAGCAAATACTAATATTTTGGTTGAATGACAAGTAAAAAATAATAAAATTTTGGATAGATTCTGTTTATTTAAAACGAATTATTCATTAAAAAGCATAAAAAATTGAGAAATCTTGTCAGATTAGAGAAAAAAATATATACAAATGCAGATTATATGATTGTCATTACTTTCATGACTATTAGAGTAGCTCGAATTAATAACAAATATTTTATAAATATATAAACTATGAATACATCTATTATTTATTAATGTTTACATATTCAATATTATTGTTCATTAATATCTATGTAACTATTTCTATATTCATATTTACTATCAATCTCATGTTGTTAAAACATTTGTCGTACTATTGGATAAAGAAAAAAAAAAACTTATATGATTCTTTTCTCTTCATTTTTATTTGATTTATATAGTGCTTTAACCTTCGATAGTTTTTTTTTACAGAAGACATTGATGACATTATGTGAGCACTACTTCTTTTATTGTTTGCTTTCAATCGTATTTGTTATTTCTTTTACTTAAAGAAGAAAAAAAAGGAATTGAGAAAATAAATAAACAAATTGCTCGAATAAATCCATGCTGGTTTGCCAATTTAAATAAAGAAATTGTTTCATTGAAACAAATTTAAAGGAAAAGAAAGTATATCTAATATATATTTTTAGTTCTTTGTATTATATTTGCTCAATATAAAAGGATTACTAATAACTCATATTGTAATTTTTATTCATTATACAGTTGTATGATATTATTTTCTTCGTATCTTTTTCTCTTCATACAGATTAAAATTAAATGAATTTGTTCAAGTAACAAAACATACATACATTATAGAGTGTCTCTGCAAATGTACGCCTACGGATAGAAGAGAGAAAAAAATGTTGTGACAATACACCATCATACATAAACTAAGTTCAAATTATTTTTTCTTTCTTTCTCTTATTCATGTTAGAGTATTTGATACTCTTGTTCAACTCAAGAATAAGAACACATACAAAAATCTACTTATTCATGCGCAATTATTTGAAAACAGAATTTCAATTTTTAGATTTATTATTATTTCTTATGTCTTTCTATTAATAAATGGATGAACGTGATAAATTAATTATCACTATAGTCTTTAGTGTTATTGGTTTTATATCAATTATTATAATTATTTGCTTTGTAACTTGGTTTATTCTTCGTCGTAAAACAAATTCAACAAATCAAAATAAAAGTCTTTCAATGCCATATCGACAACAATATGAACATTCACAAAATATATTAATAACTAAATATGATAGTAATAAACGAAAGAAAAGAAAACGAAGATTTAATACAAATGATTCATCAATATCATTATCATTTAATCCACCACATTTAATTAATCAAAATGTAAAAAATTTAAATAGATTACTTTCTCTTGAATCTTCCTTACCAATTAATATATGGCATCATGAAGATACATCATCAACAACAAAAACAAATCATTTTGATCGGTAAAAAAAAAAATCGATCTGCACTCTCATTATAAACAATCAATATGGATGAAATAAATTGTCTTGTAATATCTATTAACATATTCAATTAGTTATTAAATCGAAATATCGAATAATTAGATGTTACTGTTTTGAACATTACAGATAACTTAGAGAGAATATTATTCATAGGATATGATCTTACTTTTCACTGATAAAAATATTAATCTTTTCTCGAGATTTTAAGCTCGATGTGTCATTAAATTTGATAAAACTACCGTATCATTTGATGATTAATTATTTGTCGAAATAAGTATTATTGATCTACTGTGTTGAAAATGTCCTAGAAAAAATAGTTTTATCACATCCATTACTCGAGATCATCAATTCTAATCATTTCGGATCTAATTCAACAAAAAACTTTTGATTTTTTCAACTAGAAAAGATTTCGAATATTAAAATTGTAGCAAAATTGAGGTTTTTATTTCGACTTAGGAGTACGCCTTTCCCTTTCCGAGTTTTTCCGAGAACGACTCATCAAAGAAACCTTGAAGTTTTCAGAACAGATAGATTTTGACGAGTAGAGTAAAAGTTGTCATAGACTTAAAGTTTCTGGATACCATCTTCACAATGATATACTAGAATCGCAATTGATGAAAGATTTATTCTTCTATGTCTCCGAGATTACTATGTTCGATCGAGTTGAAATTTTCTTTTTTACAAGCGTAGATATCTTTTTATTTTTTGTTCTTCGAATAAAAAAAAACCAAAATATTGATAATATCCTAAAAAACGGATTTTATTTTAAATAGATCTTTCGTTGTAAGAACTATCAAAAATTAGCGGAACAATATTTTTTGAAACCAAACGAAAATCCATCCTAAATATTGTATAGTTTATGAATAAAAAAAAAACATTTCAGCACTCTATCGAATGTACTAAGTCGGAGAAACGGAATGTTTCTGCAATTCCTTTCATGAAAAAGTTTTGGTGAGAAAAATGCGATTTGCTATTTCCGTTAGACAAAATTTGACTCTTTAATGTTAAAAGACAATTTTTGGTTTTAAAATGCATTTCCCAGATAGATATACTAGTCAGACTGTACAATGACCATAAAAGAAAGCAAAAATTTTAAAAACATAAAACTAATGGCGAAGTCAGGAGCCAGAGGAGAAACTAAGTCCGAAATCTTGGCTCCGCCGCTGCACGAAATAAGACCAGGGATGATTCATTTTAAAAGAAAGCATATCATTTATTATACAATTTATGCGTAAACTTGTGCTTTCAGTAGAAGAAAAGAATAAGAACAACTTATGAAATATTCTATATCAAATACGAATAAAAATTTATTTTGAGTTCTTTATTAAACAAAGCATGTGTTCTTCTTCTAAATGAAGATTTAATAAGTAATCTTATACATGTCCATCTTTGAAAAGAATCTACTTACAACATTTTTATTTTGTTTCATTTTCCTTTAAAAAAATCTTTTATCTATTTAGTTGTTATACTAATCCAATAAATGAACCTATTTATATGTCATCATCATCATCATCTCTATTTACACCGATATCTAATCCAAATACAGATATTCAATCATATCAACAATTAAATTCTTTACATTTTCATATATTAAATGAACTTAATCATGATCTATGTTTAAAACAAGAACAAAGACCAACTAATGGTTTAAGATATTCTCAAAGTTGTCGTCAAACAAATGATCCATTACCATTTGATTATTATCGTTCAATAAGACCATCAATTATGACAATAAATGAAAATCTATTAGAAATAAATCGTAATCGAACAATTAAACATTCAAATACAACATTAATGCATAAAGCACATATAGCACAATTAAGAGATGATACTGCTATTTTGTATTAATTTATTTATAGTGAATTGACAAATTTATATTTTTTTACATAACAAAAATAAAGAAAAAAAAAACTGTTTTTATATATATATTCGTCTGATTAAATCAGATTGAGTTTAAAAAATTAAACAAAACTTTTCGTAAAGCTTTTATTCAATATCTGCTTCCATCTGAATTATGAATCTTTTGTTTTGTCGGTATATTTTAAGGAGGTTTTTTCATTGGATTTTATTGGTTATAAGAAGAGAACCTATAAATATTATCTATAAAGATAAAATGATAATTTTAATGTAGAAAAAATGAATTCAGAACGAATAGATGAAGAACTATTACGTGAATTAGCATGTAATGGTGATCTATATCAAATTCGAACTTTATTAACAAATAAACCAAATTTAAATATTAATAGTCAAAATGCTATGAATGGATGGTAAGATAAATATTTAATTTCAAAAATCAATGAATGATATATATATATATTATTTTTTTCTAGGACAGCTTTACATTGGGCAGCTAAACGAAATCATACACAAGTCGTAGAATATTTACTTGAACATGGAGCAAATAAAGATATTCAAGCTCATGATAAATCAACTCCAGCATATGTTTGTAATAATGATTCATTACGACAAGTTTTAGAATCAACAATATCTGATAGTAAGTAGAATTTTTGTATAATATTTTTAAATGAATAATTTAATACTATTCCGTTGAATTTCTTTCTCTTATGAGATTATATAGAGTTTAGAAATGAAACGATTTAAATTTTTATTAACGTGAAAATACATATGAATAAATATTTAACTAAAAAATGAGACATTTCATAAAATTGATAGTTTATTAGACGAGTAAAGTATTCACTATCGAAACACTGATAAGATCTGAACTAGCTATTTCATTAAAATGAGAAGTCCTTAGTTGATCGCAAAGGGTTTACACTTTATACTTCTTTCAACACAACTCAAATATATTTTCTTGAGTTTCTCAACTGTACATAAACTTTTTAGGATGACATCATCTGGCATAGCCGCATCGGTGCATGTATCATAGAGCTGTAAAAGTTGCTCAGATTGAACAAGACTTTCTAAATCTGTTTCTTTTTTTTGGCAAATACGTTGAACTATACGAATAAAATCATAGCATGTTAATCAAAAGATTTCATATAGAGAAATAAAAACGATAGATATTTTGTTTTATTCAATATCAATGAAATAGTAGGTTTCATGAGTCTACTCAACTTATGAAGTATAAATAAGATTCTTGAATTTGATTGTTTTTGTTAATTAAATGACTTTTACTTTTTTTCTGCATATTCATTTGTTTTCATTAAGACATTGACAGATAGTACTAATCGATGTTTAAAGATATTTTTTTATTCATGTAATAATGTTATCATTTTTCTAAATGGTAATACTAACAAACTTCGCCTTAAATCTGAACTAACGGGTGACCTATAATGAATGGTCGCACTTTGCATTACATATTTTAATTTCAAAATAGGTATTATTAAAAAAACAAAATATACTATGAGATGCGGCGTGAAAAGCTCTACAATCTACAATGTAAAGCTTTTTTTAATGATGTACTTTTTGTTTTCAAAAAAAGCAAAATTCTATAAGGTCTTTTTTGTCTTTGCGAAAACATCATTTTTTTTCTACACGAACGAGAAATTTCTTTTTTCCTATTTCATCTTTTTATGACTTAATATGTTTTATTTTGAAAAAACAAAATATACCACAAGATGTAGCGTAAAAAGCTCTACAATCTAGGAAGTAAAGCTTATTTTAATTGT